AGAGTGGTTGCTGGAATTGTGTATGTCTAGTTTAATTTTAAAAAAGGATTAGGGTGACATGATAGCAGAGTTCTAATATCTAAGGGGATGCCACAAAGAAGAGGGGGGGGGTGTCAATTTATTCCCCAAAGCATATGAAGGAATATAAAAAAAACAATGGATAGACACTAATAAAGAAGAAAGCCAACCTAGAACTAAAGAGAAATTTCCTGACAGATAGAAAAATTAATAGATGAAACGAGTTGCCTCCAGAAGTTGTGGATGCTGAAACACTGGAGGCTTTAAGAAGAGATTGAACAACTATTTGTCTCAAATAGTATAAAGTTTCAAGCTTGAGTAGGGAAGAAGATGATGTCCAAAGTCCATTCCAACCCTGTTATTTTTATTTATATGCTAATTTAGTTCAACTACTTTTAGGCTTTCAATTTCTGGCCACTTACAAAGATATATTTTTGAAAGCATGGTCCTTTTCTCATATAATGGGGAAATAAGCTTGGACTGATCTAAATCTCATAGATAAATAAAATTTGAATCTTGTGGTCCAAAGCAGATCATTCCTGCTGCTCTATCATTTATAGTGTCAAATAATCCAAGTCCATATTCTTTTTCTAGCACAAAGATAGTGATGTTTGGACTCAGAATTATTGTCATATTGAAGAAACAAAGAGAAACTTCTACTTCTATCTGATCCTAAATAGATGAAAACTTTATTATTGTATTCCCATTGGACCGATTGACTAAAATGCTTCTGAGTGTGGTTTTTAAAAGGCATACTTAACTTGAGCAAGCAGCTCTTGACATGTTGACAGGAATAAAGCTTCTCATAGGAAATAGCTCCCACATATGTGATATAGCCAATAGGAAAAACATCTCTATGCTAGCTATAGCCTATCAGAAAAATACCTAGAAGGTCAATGAGCTGGAAATTTTAAAGCAAAAAATGACAGGTGTGATGTTTGCAGTTTATCCTTGCAAGATCCTATTAATGTAGTTTTACAATAATTTAGTTCACTTAGTTGTGATCACATGACAACTGGGATGCTACTGCTGTGGTAAATGCAATAACCATTAGTCTGACATTGTTTTCAGTGCTGTCATAACTTCAAACCAATGTTAAAAAATCTTTGTAAATTGAGGACTTCCTTTACCAACTTCCCATATATATCTGACTATTCTATAGGGGATTCGGTGCAATGTAAATCTCATTTTCAATATGCTTGTTCATTAATAGAATTACCTTCCATGGCTGGATATCTTGAAGACGGAGTTTTCTACCATTCAAGTTTCTCCTGTGTTGTTGGCTCAACCTCATGGCATTTAAAGCATATGCCACAGCATACACTGCATTGTATATACTATAACTGTGACCAGTCATCTTCATTTCAAAAAAAGTCCCAGGAAGGCTCTCCAATTTCTCCTTCCCTGTACATACATCTTCTATTTGCTCATTCTCAGATGGATTTGGAAACACACAGCCAAATGCTTGTTCCCACACATCTTTGAGGAAACCATCCTCTTTTGAGAAGAAATAATCTTGTGTCTGAAGAAAATGTTGGAACCCTTCAACTTCATTTGAATAAGCTGCAAAGCTCAGAGCACCATGAAGGAATTGGATATCCCAGCTCTTCTGATAAAAGAATGATGCAAGACCCATTTGGGAAGCCATAATCCACACCTTAGCTTTTGGCTTTATAGTAACCATTTCTATTTCAGGTAGGCGTAATAACCATCTAAAATTTAAAAGATGGTTATTATTGATTATGACGACATTGGCTTTGCTTTTAACAAGAAGGTGAAAGGTTTCAACAAGTGATTTCAAAGTGTCAAAAAATGAGTGGATATGATTTGCTCTCAATTGTTCTATGAAGTCAATGCAGATACCATGAAGTGAAAATATTGAGAAGATTAGGTGCTGAAATGTTCTTCCACCAAATCCATAAACAATTACCCCAACCCAAGTCCATCTAAAGTGCAAGAATAGTCGAATAATGCCTCTGTAATGAAGTTCTTCACCTGGAAGCATGCTGTAGTAGAATGGGCTTTCATTTGAAAAGGCATCTATTTGGAACTATGGAAAACATTAGATTAGACAAATAGAAAAAATAAAGATAAATATGTATCCTTTCTAAATTAATGTTTTGAAATATGTCATCATAAACCTTCACATAATTTCTGGGCATAAGATAGTTATGAGATTATGATTGAGCAGAGTATCATTCAC